GTTCAGACGTGTGCTCTTCCGATCTCCCCAAAACCCCAAAACCCCACTAGTCTAGATATGATAATTGCTTTATGATTGAAATTATGAAATAAAACTATGACTATTTGAATAAGTTCATTATAGTTAAAATTCTATCTACAAATGTGATTACCACATAATATAAGCTGATTTCTAGTTGTTTGATATTTTCAGTTGTTACTATAGGAGTATGTGCTGATAATATTGCTATTGATATTCAATCCTGAATTAGTTTAACTAGCACTCGTATTTAAAGACTAAGCATTTGATTTCTTGCTCTCTTTGTTATAATACTTGTTGTAAAACTTCAGTAATTGGTAAAGATTCTTGTCCATATTTTTACCAAAGCCTCTTTGACCAAAGGAACGATCTCCCTCATATTCAAGTCCTTGAAACAGATGCTTCTCTTAGAATTTGATGTCTGGGTTATCTTAAAATGGATTTCCAGAATAGGACAATTTACCTACTCCAAACATCTTGTATCGAATTTCCTATGAAGATTAAGACTATTTGGTATATTACCTAAATAATAACTGAATGAGGGATTATCTTATTGAAGTTATCAAAATTTAAAACAGGCTTTCTTGTCACATGCTTAGAGCTTACATTCTCATGGTACATATAATTGACCAATCTAAATTAAAAATAATTAAAAATAGTGATTATTACGTCATGATTTCTTATCCCGCTACAGATGAAGGAGGTATGTTTTGCTACAATGATAGAAGATTTAGTATATTCAATTCATTGTCACGATCTAAATCATACATTTTAAAGGCAATTTTGTTGTGAGAAAAGTTTCGATCATCTTAATATAGAGGAAGCATCATTGTCATGAATCTTGATAGACTGATTTTACTTTTATCGAAGCCTTTACTCATATAGAGATACATGAGTCTGCCAATGTAAGGAAAGCTATAGCCAAATATGTTCTTCATGTTGTCCATGATATTATTCTCAGTCAGATATACATTTTACTCCTTAAACTATGAATTCTACTTCAAGTCATCAGTCTTAAGATTCAAAAACCTCTTAAAATTACTTAGTAAAATCTTGAATTCGTCATTCATAATGGATGCTTTGACTGTAATTATATCTGGATCGAAAAAGCTATCATTCTGATAGGAACTTTATTTCATAGGATCTGTGACACTGTTCAATTTCTCATCATTATCAATGATGCTACCTGAAATCTTTTGATGCTGTAAGGGGTTTATTTTCCTTCCTGTGAGATGATAAACAATGTCTATTACTAACTAAGGTACGAAATTTTTGAACTAGATCTGATTGAACTCCATAAATGTTAGGTAAATATCTGATTTACTTTAGTTTGATTCGTCCTTGATGACTGGCTTAATTTTATGCTTCTAATAAGAACTTTTTTATCGGACTATGTTTAAGATACTAGAGCTGCTTATATTATTAATCATTAATTAGCTTTCCATATCTAGTTATGCCCTATAGTCATCATCTATTTGATGCCTCTCTCCGCTTTAATTTTTCTTATGGAAATTACTTTGAGAAGCATTTTGACTTTTGGCCAATTATAGCTTATGCTAAGAGGCTGGTGGTGGATTATGGCTATTTTTCTAAGATTTAAATTAAGAAGAGTTAGTCTTTTCTTCAAAAGAGTCCTAGACCTCGGAGATGTGTTCCCAGATCGAATTCTTAGTCTCTTACTTTTTAACTGAAAATTTAGCATCGACCAAGCCATTCTTTTGTTATTTCTTTATATTTATTTATTTGATAACTTTTACGAAGTCAGCTGAAAAGACTTCAAGGAACACATCGGAATCCTCAGGAGGCTAGTCATCTTACTTTTAGTTAGTTTAGGCACACAATTTCATAAGTTAAAACAAATCGTTCTCAGAAAGTTTCTTGTCGTTGTTAATATCTATTATCTTGTAGGTAAAGTACTTAAGAGCCTATAGATTGAGTTAAAGAAATAATGAAACATACATTAATGTCTTAATTAGCAAAATTTTCAATAATTTCGCAATACTGGTTTAGGTCATGATAAACTCCAAAATTATTGAACAGGTTTGATAAGCCTTTCATGATTCTGTCTGCCAAAAAGTCCTTGTATCTCTTTGATAAGTATTCCCTCAACTTATTTTTATTGAGCTTTTTCTCAACAGATATAATGTTAAAGTGTTAAGCAATAACTGGATCTTTCCTATCAAGAGTTAACAGTTTCTGTTTCCCTTAGAACTGTGATTACTTGACTATTTTACTAACAGCTCTTGATAATGTTCTCTAATCATCGTCATTTTGTTATTCTTCATTTGAATGAGCCCCTTGTCCTATGAGATTGCCAATGATATTTTTATTCATATTTTTAAGGGTTTTTTATGTTTCAAAATTAGGCTATCCTACTCCACTTATAACTTTAGATAAGTTATCAACTAACTTCTGATTCTTGATTTTAATTTGCTGCTTGGTTTCTTTGTATTATTATAGTGGAGTTAATGTGTTATCAACTAGAGTTTACTATCTTTTGTGCATTATTTCAGGTAATTTTTGTTACGGAATATCCAAGAAATGAACATCTACCATTTAAGAGTCGATGCTTTGCTCTCTAGCTTATTCCATTTCCTCCAAATTGAACGATTCTACCTTTATTTTCTTGAATTTGATATTGATATTGTGATTATGATTTGCACTCAATGTATGCTAACCTTTCTTGCTAAATAGCGATTTGTTCTAATTAGCAATCAACCTATCAGATGATACATTAAGGCTTTAGGGAGGGTTTATTCTTTTTGGAAGTTCAAGAGGCCTCGCCTTTTGAGTTATCATAAGACTGTTTGAAAGTTCTGGGTCACTCCAATCATCAATGATTGTTGAAACCTTCTCCATTTTACTCTGCCTCAACAGATCTCTTATAGGAACAAAGGACTGATTAAGCTTATCTTGTGACTTTGTAAAGTCTTTTCTAGCATAGTCTGCGAATGTTCTAGCTGTAGACTGTTCGTTATTAGGCCGAATATACTTATTATAGTAATTATGATGTAACTTTGGCAAACTGTCTTCTTTCAAAATTCCTCTTCTTATTGCTTATTCTTTGAATAAGCCGAATGCATCCTTGTCCTGGCTGATATTATTGATGAACGTCTAGATATTTGAGAGGCTATACCTGTTTGATGATTTACTCGTGTTTATCTTCTTTTTATCACTAAGTAGGCTAGGTGACTGCTTAAAAGAAGTCTATTGTTATAATTTCTAATATGGAAGATTCAGCGATGATTGCATTATATTTTTATGAAATAAATGATTTAAGGAATTTAATAAAAATCATAAAGCCTAATCATTTCCTATTCATTAAATTAAGTTCAAATAAGCCTTAATCTATTATTGAAATGTTTAATTAAGCTTAAGCTTCATTCAAATTCAAAAAATTCTTCTTTTTTAGGACCAAGCAGTTCTAAATCCTCTGGCTTAAACACTACAGTTTTTCTCCTGATTTCATTGATAGAATTTTTAGGCTTATTTTGAATCTAATGATTAATCACCTTTTTATTACTCTTGACCAGTCCGTTTTCATCATACTCAAGTAAATCCTATTGTCTGATGTTCACCTAATGGCTTTGGGTTTTAAAAAGAGATGGCTGTGACATAGAAGACATGTCAAGTTCACTTTCATCTATCTTAATGGGATTATTTTGGTCATTAGTTTAGAATGAGAAGTACTCACCCTTATTCTCAATTTTTTATTCTTTGTGATTTTGAATAAAATCTTCGAAACTTATTAAATCTGATGACTGGTTGTTTTACTGGTAAGTCTAATAATCTTACTCATATTTTTAAATATCAAAGGGTTTTCCTCTTATTAGATCATCAATGGCCTAGGTATCCTCCTCTTCCTCATCCTTTTCTTCCTCGTCATTATCTTCTGGTTCATTAAAGTCGAAATATTCCTAGACATTTTAGTCCACTTATTAGGTTTCTGTTAATTCATTGAAATTGAAGTATTCAACTGGTTTATTTTCTATAGCAGAGCTCTAAAGTTACTTAGGAATATATTCCGAGGAGAGTATTTAATCAATGATACTCTCTTCTAATCTTGTTCTTAATCCTTAGTCTGATGTAAATGTATGAATTTTAAATAATGCAAAGACTGGTCTATGGTCAGAGAAATAGCTTTCCTTTCTTCCATAATGCATAAGTTAAATATAACTATGAGCATTATGAGGCTTCTAATAAAGAACTCTGTCACACCATGCAGGAATCCTTTGCTTTTTAGAAGTATCATAAACATCACAATCATCATCATATTTGTAAGTAGGATTAAAGTTTAATTCCCCTTCAGAATAACCCATTAAGATTGGATCAGATTATTTGGCAACAAGAAGCTAATCATACTACCAAAGTTCTGCATAGTTGCACTACTCAATATTAGCTTTAACATCATCTAGAGGCATATCTATTCTAAAATTCAAGTCTCCCAAAATGAAAGTGTAATCATGAGCCCTAATTGGATAGTCGTGATATTTTTCATTCTAGTCAAAAAGTTTGTGTTTAATCTGCTTTAAATCATCAAGTCTTTACTAGTATTTATTTTAATTACTGGACAAATGACAATTCATAAAGACAAAACTCGACTCGTTAAAATGGAATCTGATACTTACGCAACCTTTGTTCCCTCCATTTCCGCCAAATCCAGTTTTTACTTTCGATGTTCTAATATTTTTAATGCTATTTTTGTGTTCACTTTTAGCAAAGAGTAGAATAAAGCAACCTACCATAGACCTTGTTTGTAAGAGACTGTAGTTACCACTAACTTGCAAATTCTTCTGAATCAAATCAATCCACATCTAATTTCTCTCCTTATTTTTACCTGCTATCACTGATTTTGCATTTAATTTAACAATTTCTTACAAACCTATTACTATTAGGTCTGGAAGATTAGCTTTATCATCAGGTAAGATGAGATTATTTAAATCTAATTTATGATGAGGAGCTTTACCTGCACAGTTCCAAGTAAACATTAATAGATTCAATTCTTAAACTTTTGTAAAGCTACTAATCTGTCTGTTGATCTATCGATCAATAAGCAGCTACATTCCATAATGCTTTTATTTAGGATGACTGTTTGTAAGATTTTTTAGACTTTCGTGCACCAGCTAATCTTGATAGTTGCTATTGAAATAATTGTTAACTCCCTTTTTCATTTTCTTTAGTTTATTGAGAATTCCCTTCTTGGCTTATTTGACTGTGAGTTTAAGTTAAGGTTTTCTTAATCCAAATTAAAAACTTAATTCTTTACCATTTATTTCCCATAATCTTTAAAATACTGTAACAATATATTGATTTTCTGAGCCTAGGTTTTCAATCTGAAAGGTGCCTTATATCTGTTCTATCATGGTGGAAAGTACATTTAAAGCTATTTTATATTGTGCAATATTTGTCCTATCTAACCCATCAAAGCAATAAGTATTAATCACACTATTCTACTATTATTTCGGCATATTACTAGATTTCTCAATCATTGTAAATTAGAAAGCTTAGTTAATCATAGCATCTAAAAGTTCCATCAGTTAATCAAGTTTACTGTACTAAATTAGCATTAAATATATTTTAATAGCTTACATCATTTATGAGTTCTGCCTTGAAGTCATAGTGCACATTTTTTATCTTATCATCTCTCGCTAAATCAAATAGGTCTTCAATTCCTATTTTAAGTTAATTTTCCCAATGATCCTATCTAGTTAGTAAACTCAAGAACAAGGATTCATTGTAGTCTTTGCTGGACTATGTTACAAATTTCAAGAAAGGCATCAATGATTATCCTCTGTCTCTTGTGAATATGATTTTGTTTTTATTCGGTTTTATTTACCAAAAATAAGGAGCAGAACATCTGTTTTATATGTAAGAAGTTTATAAATTATTGCAGGATAGGATAATTTCAGATTCTACACTATTTGCACAATCCCCTTCATCATTTAATCCAGTATTGTATGCCTTAGTTCCTGCATTATACTGTGCTCTTCTTGAAATCAGCAATAGCTCTAATTTAGGTTAGATCTGAGCAAATAAATGATAGCCAACATATCCTTGAATAATGGGCACGATCCATTTGGAGTTAACTCTATGATGTCTGAAATCCTAGCTTATCTAATAGTTCCAAATATACCTTTTATCTCCATCTATTTCCCAATTCTACCTTAAGCTTTGTTATAAAGAGTCCTCCTATTAAATCTTAATGATACTTCTTTAGCTTTAAGTGATATCACATCCATAGGAAAAGAAAAAGCCAGAATTTAGTAGTTTTTAGCAGGATATGATATAGTTATTCAACTGATTTTTCTTACCCTGATTATTCCCTATCAAGATATTGCTATCCTGAAATGGAATCAAAATAGAGTCTTTAATTTTGTAGATATTGCTACCGCTCATTTAGCCTACGTATTCTCTCTCCTTTATGAGGCCAAGATAATTATACCCCATTATATTAATGATACCAATAACCCCATTTATGGTCATCTAGCGTACATCCATTTAATCTTAATACTCATAATCTAAAGAATTATACTTATTATCTCAATGTGTAAATTGTGATTGTCTTACCTTTTTCAAAGATTTTGCAAGATTTTTTGTCAATAACCAAGACTTAAGCGATCTTTTCTCCAGTATCATTCCTCCTAAATATTATTGGTTCACCTCCAATAGTCTCATTAAATATCTATAAGAATTCTAAATGAAACTTCAGTCTAATTACTTTAAAACAGTCAGTGTAATTAATGATTGTAAAATATGGATCTTAAGATTGTTGAGTCATCTTATTATAAGTTTAAGTATTATCTTCCATTGGGTAAATATTAATTATTATTATATAATTGCCTATCTTATTGATTGTCATTTCACATTTATCTAATAATTAATAATTCCAAATTCATCATTATTAGCATCATGGGGTTTTGGGGTTTTGGGG